CTGCTTGCAGACACCACTGATTAAACTAGAAAATTTGCCGTAAACATAAGTGAAAATCAACGCGTGTTTCAATCTTAAATTAATTTACACTAAATATATGTTATTAAAGGTTTTGCTCGAGTGTTGACATGTCTCTCGAATTTGAATGAAGCTTCGAAAACAATTCTTGCAACTGCTGAGGGAGAACCGCGGCTTTATCATCCCTCTTTGGCCCTTACGGTAATTGTTGCACCGCTTAGTGCATTTTCTTAGGCGATTTCTGTTAGACTCATGCTCATTCATTGTAAAAGACGTCTGTGACGGAATTTATCACCCCCCGACCCTGACAGAGTGATCGGAACGCTCTCTGCCAAGACAGTTTCTTGTAGACAAGACTCGGCGGTATGAGACAGTAGCACATGCTTCTTAACTCATATATATATATATATATTTGGCTTAATGTGAGGCGGTGTAGCAATACCACGCTATAGCTAAACGTAAAGCTGTAACGAAGCACAAAATGGTGTGCGCAATGTGTAGGTTTCTCAATTTTATAAAATTTCATAAAATTGTCAGTTTTTCATTGTTGATTGAAAAAAGGTCTAGCATACCTGACCCTCTCCCTCTGTGTGCAACGCAAATTTCAAACTAAAGTAAAATCTTTACTTAATTTCGAAGTTGCAACTCGAAGGCCACACTTAACCTCTTGCAATCATCGCTGACAATGATTGTAAAAAAATACCAACATAACAGTACTTTCTGAGTACCGCTTTTCAAAAATCTAACTCCAAACTTAATAAATATGCTTTCATGATTAGTGAGTTTAGGCACTGGGTGTATATTGCATGGTATTTATTTGTAAAAATATTTCGAGTAACTCTACTGTCAACGTGCATTTTAAATAATAAATAAAAATAAAAAAAAAACATTGCAAAGTACGTCGCTCATTATATTCAACATTTTCAGTATTTAGGTTTTAATTACTGTAGGATCCTATCCGCCTTTCTGAGTCTACATACGTGTTTACTACATACTTATAATACCCCTACTCCCAGATTTATTAGGGCCAGCACCGCTACGGAAAGTGCCCCTAACCTCTATAATATAGTTGCCTTCTGCCAGCCACCGTTGAGATCTGTTTCACTGCATTTGGATAGCCCTGGCAGATCCCTTTGCCAGGATGCGAACTCGTTCTCCCAGGAGAATCTCTAGACCTGGCACCGTTTAAAGGATCGACCAGTGGTGATGGCTTTAATAAACTGACAAAGTCAGATTGGTTGGATTTGCGCGTGGTCGTGAATGTGGCGATGGCGGCATTTTCAAAGGCTCCGCGAGAACACCGTGCGCGTCCTGCTAAACACCACTGCAGATTCCAGTCGACATACCGTGTAAACGCTACTTCACCATAACAGGTGCCTTCTGTAGCAGGAAGTGGCGGAAAGAAGGTTGATTATAAGGAAAAACGGGAGCTTCGCACTAGGGCTCTACAAAAAGCTGCTGCGGAAATAGAAAGAGTGGAGGCCGTGCAGACCTTGAAAGTACGAAAAAGTCTCGGGGGAGCGCGAGTCTGGTTGTCCTCAAAAGTCACCGTGAAGAGTCCTAATAATACAAAGGGCCCTGGAGATATGTGACAACCGAGAATATATTGGGGGCAAACGGGAAGGAAATCTCTCACGGGACCACGAGACACACCCACTAATATGAACGAGCCAAGGTGGGGTGGCGCTCTAGTGTTTGTTTGGGAGGACAGGAGTGTAAGGGATTGAAATATGGATGAACAGATGGATGTCCGATTACAGCAGACGAAAGACGCAGTTGCGAAATAGTACACGAATAGCTGGAAGAGTATCATTGGTTGGCCAAAGGCGATTCAGGGATCAGAACTCCACGCGAAGTTCTAACTTGAAGAGTATGGAGCTATTAAGTTTGCCTAAGCGGGTAAGCTCGGGGTCTAGCCAGTAGCTCGTATCACTTAGCCCCGAACGCTGGGGAGAACGAAAGGCGGGAGCATCCGAATGTAGGCAGAAGCGGCCTTTTATAGAAAGTGTATAGATCGCCTGAAGAACACACATTGGCACGTCGAAATTAAACGAAAAGTCAGTCAATCAGTCTTAGATAAAGAGGCGGAACAACGACTCCACACCAAAGAAACGATAGACAGTGTAGCATAAGTGTATCCGAAGAGAATAAATGCGTTCATCCCGATGGTTCGATATGAACTCATAACACGTCTCCTTCTAATATACATTGAGAATCTGGTTTGTTTGCTAAATTTTTAATAATTTCTCAAAATGCGGCAGATACTATCCGTCGTTGATAGTAGACACGCATGCGCACATTATGACGTATCTTATTTCGTATTTGGCAGAACTCCCTCAATCGTCGCAGTCAGATATCACTGAACATTTTGGGCTGTGACACATTCAGTCACTAACTACGTTGAAATAACATAGACTTGTTTTACGTCGTTACTACTAAGGAGCCATATAAAAGCATAATGCTCATTAGTTCTTCTCAGGAACTCTTGATTAGAGCTATTCAGCTCCGTAAAAAGGACGGCCAAATGATGTGGTGCAAGTGACATCTGGTACCGGAAGAACGGTTGACATTTTATAGTCTGCAGGACATCGGAAAACATACATATATGTACACATAAAATGCAGAGATATTTAAAGGGCGCGATTACCTTGAATACTTGCAATATCATCAGCTCGTTCGATCTTTATGAAACATCATGTCGATGACTGTGTCATGCCTATTCCTTCAGTAGAAAAACAAGGAAGCTCAAGGTCATACCGACCGCCCGACTGCCCGCTGTCAAGTATTGCCAGTTTGCGGCAGCGTGATAACTGCTTCTGACAGCTTTTGAGAAAAATGACGACGTTTTCCCCATTTTTATTTCGAACAGGCAAACGTTTCGATGATCGAACAGTCGGAAAGCGGCGAAGGCGATGTCGTTTTTCGACTGTTTGACTACTATCTTTTCGCTAGCGGCCAAGGATCATTCGCTGGGCAAAAAAATGTTGGGTTTGCGTAGTTGAGTCCTTAGTTTTACCTAGCCTGCGCTGTTAGGATCAATAGAAGCACGACGAAGAGCTAGCGCTACGGTAACCACCACGATAGATGTTGATAGCGTACGCGTGAAATAAACACAACCAACGGGGCTGGCGAAACCACTGAGAAGCGACGAAAGAGACAGCAATAGTAGTTGAATAGGACGGAATTAAAAGGATGATCGGTGACGACCAGGTCTTAGAAAAAAAAAAGTAAAACGCAAAAATCCTGTCGCTTTTTTAAACTTATTATCATCACTTGAAGGAGAGGGGGCACAGAATGAGGAGAATGCTAAAAGGTTGAGGGGCGAGATTGTAACGGGGAGCGGAGATGAACAGTAATAATAATAATTTGTAGCCTGTGTTTGGTGCTTCCAATGATCTCCGTTTCCAGTGTTCCCATATAAATGCTAGGATCACTGCCGGAAGCTTCAGCTTCCCCTTGCCGCACCTCTTATTTTGCCATCACCGCGTTTTCAAGCGGTGCCGGGCTGGTTGTCCATCTCTGTATGATATTGCACATCCTACCGCGTTCGACAAACGAGCAAAACTTAATGAAACCACCCTACAGATACCTGCCCTCTCCAGACTTTGGCCCCACTTTTACAAAACAGGCATATCGCTGAGATAGCGAGATACTATAGGGGACGCGGCGGTACCGTTCGCACTTCGCTTTAACGCCCTCGTTTTTATTTTTCGGATTCTGAAAACGCCCGTGTCAGTTCGAAACAGATCGACGGTGGCGATAGTGGCACTGACCGCTGACACCAAGCGGATGCGAGGGTCGCTCCGTTTTTGATAAAGACGGCAGCAGCAGCGAAAACCAGAAGGAATCAGATGAACAAGAAAGCCGAGCGTTCACCACCTGTGATCGTACTTAACTTAGCTTCTTTTCCCGACTGTTCTCCGCTTATTTAAACAAGCAGATCGTATGTGTTAAGGACCGGTGGTGATGAGGGGGGAATGGGGAAAAAGCCCAAGAGCTTGGGCAACTAACTAAGACATGCCTGAGGGATCATGGCAGGGCAGCGCCGATCTGTCTCGAAGCCTGGCGGTGTAATGGCATCTGCGATGCTGAAAACTTCATCAAACCATTTTAACTTGCTGCTATCTCAGTCGGTGATATCGTCTGACAGACGCTTGAGGAAACACTGGCTGAACACGGGTCGTCCCAAACCTTATTCATCTTCAATATAGAGAGGATTTCCGAGCGCGCGCGCGAGAGAGAGAGAGAGAGGGAGGAAAACGGCTGAAAAGAATAAATCTAAGCGAGATCTGTAATTTGAAGAATGCACCTTCGGTGGACATGTGCACATGGGTAACATTTCAGTGGGTTGCCAATGTGACCCGACTCAAAACCTAATTGACAAGCCTGAGAGTAGGAAGTTCCTAGTTTTTACGTTCGAACGTTAAAGGAAACATGGTAAGTAATAATAAAAATAATTCTAAAAAAAATTTAAAAGACGAAGAAAATAATTTAATGAAAATCATTTTTATTTTTTCGATAAAAGAACGTTACCACCTAAGATCTTAAATTTTTCTTTATTTACTTCGTGTCAGACGCTAGGCTTATGGTAATCATATATTAAAGACGGAGCGGAACGAAAGAGTCATTCTATCGGGTATAACTTTTTCGTCTAGGTGCGTTGTTATATTACGTCATGAAATTCGTAATTAATTTAGGAAACAGGCTGTATATAACATGATATGACATCGAAAGTTTTGTAAATTGATTTTTTCTTAACGAAAAAAAAGAGACCGTCATGTGCTTATTCTTGCGTTTAAAACAAAATCGTCTTCTAGCAGCAGAAATGTAAATTGGCAATAGGACTACCGACATCAGTTACAAAAGGAGCCTCTAATTTGCACTCGAATGACCTTGAATGAAAGGTTCTCTTTCGTAAAATATTCTAAAATTAGGTGTCCATCAGACGCTTCTAGGCCTAACCTCGCTCCACAGGAACTCACCTGGATTGAGTTGTCATATTTATCCTTGAGGAACACTCCAATATCTTCAAAATTCGGTAATAGCATCCAGCAGGTCTTCACTTCACATGAACCCGAAATACCGTGACATCTGCAGCGGAGACGCATATTCTTCCTGAAATAATGTGGCCCACAACGTACACGTAGAAACCTTAACCATCATCAAGCATGCTGCAATGTCGCGTGTCCTAACTCAATTGAGATATGAGTCATTACTATCCCGAATAATTTGTCTGGTCACCTATATAGATTTGTCATATTTGTCCTCGAGAAACGTCCAGTATCCTCGAAATTCGGTAGCGACATCCGGCAAGTCTTTATGCAATTGAACTGCCTGTGTAATCCGCCACCCGCACCGCAGTGCGTAGTTCCGTAACTCGTAACTTCCTTCTCGTTAGAACTGACTTTTGATTTTTCTAATGTGTTCGTTTTGAGTTCACGGTTCTAACGATTTAACTTCTCAAGCCAATAGTCACGAGGGTGCAGTAGGCCATACACCAGGCTGGCACAAAAAAAAAACGAAGGATCGAGTTAAAGCTAAGCACACGGGTGTGTTTATAAAGCCACCTGATAGATCACCGACGTTAGTTATCATCTTCAAGACGCGCATTGCCCTCTGTTCTGTTTAAATAGTGCAGACGACACAGAGAGCAGATGTTAATGAAGCGGGTTATTTGATTTCGCCCTTCGAGAAAGTCCAAAGTGAGATAGATTGTCATTCGCATCCATCGCTAAAACGTCGTGATGGTAATGAATTTACTCAGTGCCTGTTTGCACCTCCACTGAAGCAGAATTTTATATTCATACTTATGAATATTAATGCCCGGCCAAAAATATAATGCTGTTACTTCCGGGTGGTGGTAACGGGTTACCGTGCAGCTGGTGCAAGCCAGTGAAAAAAATCTGGTACTGCACCGACCCGAAACCTTAGACGGAATACGTTTGAGATCCAAGTGAGGCCCTATTCACTACTTCTGTGTCCGTGTACGTTGAATAAATCGTCACCATTCCAGATTTACTACCCAGTGCGTTTATTAAGACGGAAAAAATCATTCTTACGCTAATAAGATGCAAAGATTACGAGAATCACTAGTAATTTCGTTCATATAGCCATATTTTAGCAAAACAATCGAATACTATAAATAGAGTACCTCGTACTTTAAATTATTCAGTATTTATTTTACTCTGCCTATAGTTAGATCACATAACGGTTGTTACAGTAATACATTCCGATAAGTAATTATATAATAATCAATTTACTAAATTGTATGGTATGAAAGATTCTTTACATGCAACTAGTCACTAGTGCCATTTGGAGGATTTGTTGATTTTCATCGATCTTTCCGTAGTGAAGTGTTTCAAGCGGCTTCAATCTGTTTTCTGTGAGTTTCCTAGTTACCGACCTCCTTGTATCACCCCATCGCCTACTGATTTAAGGCTACTCTGTCTGTGCATGCGTACCTGATAGCAACGCGACCGGCCTGATTGTTATGCAAATTCATTAACGTTCGCAGAGTAGTCCGATCATGCTGCGAAGTCAAAATAGCCGTGATACTGCTGCCGCTGCTGGTGGCGTTTGAATCCGTGGCACCGTTGCCCACCACACTGATCTGGCCGTGAGTTCGTTCTGCGACGTCGATGAACTGTTTGGCGAGGTCCAGGCCCTGGCCAATGTTCGCACTGCAACCGCCCCACTTCCAGCCACGCCCACTTCGTTGACCTGTAGGCTTGTCAGGATCACAGCCACAGTCGGTGAGATTTCCGGCGGAACAAGCGCGCGATACAGAGTGAACCACGCCGGCGGATGTGACGGCAAAAATGAAAGCGGCTTCTCGGGATGCTGAAAATTACAGAATTTTGTTATTTGTCGACAAAAAACTTATTGGAAAAATAGCAACGCGTCTAGCAAAATCGGTTGTGTGAAATTATTTTCAATGGCTTGTTTAGGCTTCGTCCGTTTTGCCGTTTGATCTTTCACTTTTGCAGGTAAGTTGTGAGAACTATACGAATAAACAAAGGTTACTTGATAACTATTTCAGTGGGCCCAACAAAACATGTATCGAACATGATCCGCAGACACAACATGTGCTTAAGTTCAACATACATATATTTACTAGGTTAGACGAACCCAATACATTTTTGCAAGTAATGTAGTCCCAGTATGAATATTTTTTACCCTAATCAATGCGTGATCAAGATCTCTGTCAGCCTTAAGCCGAATAAGATGAAATCGTGCTATGTTTGTTTGAACATGCTTAACAATCTGCTGCGCGTGAAAACGTATAACCACGAAATAACTTTCTAAGGAAGCTATCAAGAACAAACATAGTTCTGAAGTTCATTTTGCAGACCAGGACAATGGTTGATAATAGATACATTTTCATCGAGAAGCTAATTAGCGTTGACTGTAATCGATTTTCAAAGTCAGAGTATGCCTTCACATCGGAAACAGAAAATAGGCCCGCTAATTCCTGTTGATTCGTGCGAACTGATGCGAAAGATATCTGGACTCCTATTTTGCGTTCGTGGAAAACATCTGCTGTAATTTAGAAATACAAACAAACAAGATAAGCATGACAAGGCTATTCTCAGAAATTCCACTAAATATATGCACGACTGGTCAATGGCTTTAATGTGAAATACATAAAAGATTTTTTCGTAAATCAATTTATAAGTTATTACATTTATCTGTCACTTTATTTGCAAATAAAATTCTATTTTTTTTTCCATGTAACAAGAAATACAATTATTATGAAAATGCTCCTACGGAGCTTGCAATTATAGATTGACACCAACTTGCGTCAAATCTGTGCTGTCAAGATGAAGACATGTGTTATCAGAATTGTTGATGCACTGAGTACAAGAGGCGTCCGACTTTTAATATACATATATATAGGTAACCAACATACATAGTACGAAAGTTCTTGCTTGGTCGTCGGGTAGGTATGAGGACCTGTGTGCACGGAGATTGTTTGATGGAAATAATCAACAACATGTGTGGTAACTTGTTGAACTTGTTTCACGTTGCAAATCAAAATCCAAATACATTTCTCTATGGCGTAAACTGGAGCCAAACAGTTTAAACAGATGAACAAACCTAAAACGTCAGACTTTTAACTAATCCGATGTCAGCATTTGCAAGCCTCTTAATTTTTATTGAATTTACACGACGAGTTTACGTGGGCACAATTTTACCTAAGTTCGCAGCGCAAGGATGAAGCTCGCACCAGCAATCGGTAATCTGGCAAACGCCACTGCTGGGCATATCGTCGAATTCAATTCCCTAGAATCTTCCTGCCCGCAAACTCTATCTAAGCCCCTGGCCTCTTTGAGTCCACATGAAGTTCGGTTCCCTCAGTCTAGTTGTTTGGAAAGACGAAGAACACAAGAGTTGAGGAAAGTGGCTCGCTTTTCGAAAAGTCCAAGTGGAGCGAAGAGCTGGGAGGGGGTCCCAGGAGGTTAGGCACCGATTTGAATTGATCGTTGTTTGCTAGAGGAAATTTTGCATAATCTCGACCAGCTTTGTGCTGGGGCGATCGATCCCAGCAGCTTTTTAGCTCTCCCGCCTTCCCTCCGGCGACCCCAGAGTCAAATCCTTCTTCGTGATATCGAGAAAGCGGTAACAGCGATCTAAAAGGCAGAATGGTTAGCGAGTCAGCCACCTGTGACTTTGTTGTTCATGTAGGCACATTTTTTTTTTATCATTTTGGCTATTCCTTCTGTTCCAAAATTCCTGCTTCATCTTTCTCTCACCACTCGCGACTTGCGATCCCTGATCTCTGACTGCCAATGAAAAATTTCGCGCATGCGGTTCTTGCGTGTGCTGTATGTATGCAAGCATCACTTCGGCTCTCAGCACTCTGTGCTATCCCCTTCTCATACATTGGGGGAAGGAGAAGCTTATTTATGACCCTTGCTCTCTTCCTCTATTCTCTAGGCACGAGGTTCTCGACCCCAACTTGCGTTCTCCTGCAGAAGAGTCGATCATTACGGAGACCGGAGCGGAGCATGGTAACCTTTTGTGGTCCGCTGAGTGGTGACATACAACGCGCTCTTACTCCCCCCGGAACAGAGTCACCTTTGAAAATTAGTCTCCCCTTACTCTTACTCCCTTGCTATTCCTATTCATCTCTCGCTACCGCTACTCGACCTTCTCCACTATTCCTGAGAATACCTTCGACCCCATCTAAGACTTCTTAGACTACATAGATAAACTCACACTCGCTAAAGTCTGTAACCCCGACGGACGAGCAGGCGCACTACAAGCCATGGTGCAAGCCATGCATTGAATACATGCCTGCACTTGTTCCCATTTGTACGCCCGGTACTTGCACCTTTCTTTTCTCAAACCACTCCTTGTGCAAGACCTGCGAGAAATACTGGTCCTACTAGTTTCTGCCTACCCCATATAGGCTATGTACATCGCCTCTTCACCCATTTGTATGACTTGATCGAGGCCGACCAGGTTCCACCATACTCGACGCTTGGTTTCTCTGCTAGCAGCAGCGCTCTAAGTAAAGCTTTTAAAATACACTCTCGTTGAAATAGCGCGATTCAGATTAATGCATTGCCAGTTTAGTGAGTATAAATGCTAAATCAACACAAGCTACCTCAACGGCGGCGGCTTTGGTGTACGATCACCCCTTTCTCCAGCGACCTATTTCTCGTTCGATCTCTTTTCCTTTGCAGCTCTCCGTCGACCAAGTACAAATGAAGCCACGATTCTCCTCATTCAACCAATCTCTGCATCTGTTTCTAAACACGTCCACACGAATCTAAAACTCTTTGTAAAAAGAGCGACAACGCCGGGTATGGCACGGGAGACCGAGACCAATACGTATTTTAGTCCTCTTTCTCCTCTCCTCCGTCCCCCTTTGGTCCCTACACACCTGCGTAGGATTTTAGTTGGGAAACTCGGACCCTGTCATGTTGGTCGCATCAGAGTCATAAAATCACCGCCACTGCTGCTGCCAGTCGTCGCTATCCTATTCCCAAAGTGTGTGCAGGGCTTAAAAAACTGCAGATTTACGTTACGTTAATGATATAGTGTTAGGCTACGGATAATTTTCGGGTTGTTAACCATTGTTGCTCGAGGTACACTAAATTAGCTAGTATCGACGTATAACGTATTGCTGTAGCAATCTTTATGAAAACCAACAAGAAGCGGTTTGTTTGTAGGTTCGTACTTTACAGATCTGCATAAACCGTTGTTTTGCGTATAAAATAACATTTGCACGTGACTGTGAATTCGACTAAAACTTGGGAACTTCTAACTCCAAGAAGAAACACCAGACTATATTCTGTTAGTACGTTAGATTGTGCAGTAACAGCAGGAACTACAAAGCCTCTCTACTAAGTGCAATAGGCTGGCGTTCGCGGTCCGTCAGTACTTTCCGGCTTAAAATTTTTCTTTTTTTTTGTTTCAGATCCGTTGACTTTATATTTTAATGCTTTTGTTTTGACGACGAGATCCGATGCGCTAGACTGCGCAACGACACTGTGAGTATCTGCGATAACAGAAGCTAAGTCACGAATCTCTGAGCTGCTACTTCTTCTACATTCACCGCTGCTCATTGTTGGTGTGCCGTCATGCCTGCCCCCATTGCTTGCAATGGTGCCAACAAGTCACCTACTAGCTTCGACCACGAAATCATATCAAAGACACATAAGTGCTGACATGTATCGCTTTGACACGATATTGGTCATTGGCTTGGTCTGGGCAGAAATGATCTTTTTTTCCTTACAATGATTCACTACCGGCATCGGGGCAAATATCTTTGTACTAGGGTGTTATTTAGTGGAAATAACACCTTCCGGAGAAGTGTTTCGCTGTGCTTTTATGGCTAGTGCTTCGTATGAACTTACAATCTTCTAACTCGCCCTCGAACACAGATCCGTAGGGTAAATCTCATATGCGCCAGCTCGCGTTAACTTCTAGCTTTTTTGTTACACTCGAGCTCCCAACGGAACTCTGATCTAGTGCAAAATACGATGGCAAACATCACACTTTTACGGAGCCCGTAGTTTCTGCTTTGGAAATGCATGTGTATTTTTCTTTTTCTCTCACGGAGCTCATTTCCAAATTTCCCCATAGTATATTAGTCCAAGTAACAGAGTAAGACTGTGTGACTTCTCCCATTGTGACAAGGGCGAGTGAGCGCACGATATTTTGCTGAAACGGAAACCCTCTCATCATGAAGCCTATACACATTCTCCTAGGAGCCATGATATGCCCTTGTCGCATACAACCTTCAGAGTCCAAGCTTCACATGGCTTTTCTTAGACGTATTCTTCGTGCGATCGTTGTCCTGTTTCCGCCGTTTTTTTCCGGAAATGTCTCACCAGCGCACAATAGCCAACTGGCATTCATTCGAGGACACTGAATCACTGGTGATGGCCATCCATAGCGTGGCGTTTTGTAACCGAATGTATATAGGGAAACCATGACTGCATTTCCTATCAAAGATACAGAACTTCCATTTATGTGTGCGTGCTTGAGTAATCTTTGCTGTTGTTACTTCTGAGATGTTCGGTCCGGGAGGAAACGAGTGCATTTCGCCCCTGGACCCCGGTGATTTCTGTATGATTTGAGTGCAGTGTTCTTTATATCTTGAGAGCAGCTCCGCCGAGCTGCCTTTAACTCAAGTCGACGTATTTTTTACCAAAATATGATGTAGTAAGCGTAGACGGGACTATGTGTATTTTCTATGGGAATATATGATACGATAAAGCAATTGCTTATGTATTTAAAGTCAAAATAAGGTAGGACGAGTGCCTTTTCCGCTTGGAGTACTGGTGCAGTGGTTCCCATAAGGGCCGCCCCTTCAACAAATTGAGCTT